AATTTTTCAGCATCAGCTTGCATATTCCGTCGGGACCCATGGCTTTGGAGGCTTTCGCCTTCCCGATGGCCACCTGAACTTCAGTGAAAGCACAGGTTGTTGGCAGTTTGTGCAGCCTTCTGGTCACTCGACGGTTGGCTTTGTCCACCGGCGGATGCAGTATGAACTGCCGACTAAAATAGCTCGCGCATCGGTCCGGGTCCGACGAAGCATGGTCGCCGAAGGAAATTTCGGCTCTGTCGTCGTGCTTCGTTGTTGTTGTTGTTGTTGTAACAGCATACAAACTCCTCGTGCTTCGTCGGACTGGACAGTGACCTCACGGTTGACTAAAGCTTACTCACATCAGAGGTGAAGTTACAGCTCTTCAGATGCTCCTTCCACTTCTTCCGGTTATGTACGTTTACTAGTTGCCGAATCTCCGCGTTGAGATCCCTGATGCGGGGATCTCCGGGATTGGCCTGACGAAGGCTATCACGCTCATCGGCTAGAACAGCCGCTTCGGCAGGGAAGTTTGGACGTGGGTCCGTTATACATCCTGCCGGTATGAAGCGAGCTGCAGCAGCAGTGACAGCCCTGGATGGACGTCGGTTGGTGTGGGAAGCGCTGTGAAGGTGTTTTCAGTAAACTCCGCGTAACCTTTCCAATCAGCTTTAGAGAAGTTGATATAGGTCCGGTGTTTGGCGGAGGCAAAGTCGGTTGGTTTATCTATCGAGATGACTATGGGTAGGTGGTCTGATGCTAAAGTCAGCATAGGTCGCCATGTTATGCTGTTTATCAGACCAGCGCTGACTATGGTGATGTCTGGCGAGCTGCTGCAGTTACCCATAATCCTGGTGAGTGCGTCGTCGTTCATTGTGCAGAATGTCGAATCGTCTATCTGCTCAGCCAAGTCTGTTCACCTACGATCGTTTGACAGGCTTGAGTGCCAAAGATCGTGGTGCGCATTAAAGTCACCTACTACCATATGGTTTTCACCTCTGAGCGCACCTATATCAGGGTGATATCCTGCCGCGCTGCAGGTGACAGGGGGTATGTATATGTTAAATATTTCGAGCTCAACAACGCCTGACCGGATAGCAATGCCCTGACATTCTAGGGTGGTATCCCTGCGGTCGATGTCTGCTTCGATAAGACGATACTGCACGGTGTGGTGCGTGACGAACGCTAAGCCACCACCATTATCTCGCTCGCGATCTCGACGGTGCACGTTGTACCCGGCACAATTCAACAGAGTTAAATTGCTGTGCAACTTCGTGTCTTGGACCGCAGCTATCAATATTCCATGCCGACACATGAAGACGGTTATCTCCTCAATCTTGCTCTGTAGCCCGTTGCAGTTAAAGGAGCTTCATGTGGTTCGGGAGACGTGTCGTGATGTGGGGTGTAAGGGATGTGTTTGTTCTTACCGCCGTTGGCTGTGTGCGCTGCTGTGATGGTTGCCGCCCTGTGGTGGTGGCGGGAGGGGTCGCAGTTGAGGTCTGCGACCGAGCAGCGCAACACGGGCCCTCGAAGTTCCTAGTCCAATCTCGTGTGGTACGCAGACCTGAGCATGCCCTAAAGTGGCACCAGCCAAGGCAGGTGTTGCACTTGACTGATGTCGCATTACGGAATATCCTGGTCTGACATACCGTGCAGATTGTAGGAGGAACCAGGAGTTGTTGGCGGCGGCGTCTGGGTAGTGGTACGGTTGTGTGTTATGTGGTCGGTCGTGGCTGTGGTATGGTCTGTGGTGTTATTATGTTGTTGTGCTGTGGTGACTGTGTGAGGCTGCTCAGGTGGGCTGAGGTTAGCCGTGGAGGCTGCTCTGTTTGAGCAACAGGGGGCCACGGACGACGTGGTTCACTGTCGATGTGTCCGTAGTCCAGAGCAGACTCTAAGGCGACTCCACCCCTCGCAGGCATTACACTTGACTGAGGTGGAGTTGTGGTGTAGTCGTCTCTGGCATACACAGCAGGTGTAGATTTCTGCCCAGGGTTTGACTCGATGCCAGCCCTGAGTAGAAGAATATGTAGTGAATGTAGCCCTATGGACGGACAACTTCTGAGATACTTCGCCGACCTAAACGGGGTTAGATCGCCGAAACAATAGCCCTTGGTCGGGTAAAACCCGAGTCATTCCGGTACGTAGAACCGGCTGTCGTGTCCACTTTGTTTTCCTTCATTCAGCTATCTTTGAAAAACAACTCATAGCTGGCAATGCTGCACATGTTTCCGCAAGGGTTGCAGCATGTGGATTTTTCGCTTTTCGTAGCATAGCTACGAATTACGAATTACGAAAGTTCGGGTTCTAGAATAAGGGGGATAATTACGAAATAAAACTCCCTCGCAATCAATGCATTAAGTTAAGCAGACTTCGGACAGCCACTATGATACGATCGCGTTTAAAGTTCTGAAAGATTATAGACCGAAATTTAAAGAATATATTAGTGCTTCATGTTTTCCCCCCACCAAATTGCCCTAGGCATGTAAACTCCAACTCCGAGTTTCGTTTGTTAATTTTCTTGTGCATAATTTTCATTTTACGTATGAACATTTCGCTTATTTATGTGTGTGTGTATTTCGCAAACAATTTAAATTTTTTTCCTCCTCTTTTATCTAAATTTTGGCAGTTGACTACAAATATACAACTAACTTAACAGCTTATAGTTTAAGCTCGGTTTAACCCAGCTAGATTGGGAGTTTAATTTAGCGTTTTAGTTTATTCAGAAATTCGGCTATGTAGTTTTGTAGAAATTTTGCTGCTATATCCATCACGGGGCGAGATTTTTTTACCTGGTTATAAGGTAGTAACAAAATTTGCAAGAGTGCGCAGAATGCAAAAATGGTTTAAAAATTGGCAGGAACTTTATTTACCGGTAAGAAAATTTTTGTTACCATCACGCAGAATGAGAATGTTAAGGTTTGTTAAATTTACAACCAACAAATAACTCAAAAGCTATAAAGCTCCTGCAGCTAAAAACTACATACATATGTATATATTTGGAATAAGTACCCTTATTCGTGGGAATTCGGAATTACACGTTTTTTTGTTTTTGGTTGACTATTTCTCCGATTTGCCGATATAGCTTATAAAGAATCCATACCATATAAATATGATATTTGTACAACGATTTTGGGTTGCTGTGCCCAAACGCGTGACCCGCTTCAAAAAACTTTTACACTTGTAGACAAGAATCAACCCTTTATTAAAAAAAAATGGTACTCTTTGGAGTTTGTTTGATATACGCTGACGGTTTGAACTTTGCTCCAGTTTTCCTACAAGTAGCTTGTGAAACAAACATATTTTTTGTTAGTTTCCGACCTGAGCTGTCAAAAAAAAAAATATCCACGAAATATCTCTGCAAAAGGTGTTCAGCCCCTCTTCTTTAGCAAAACATAAAGGAGAATTCTACTTAGTGAGGGTTATAATCTCTAAGCGCGGCCGAAGGCCGCCTACGTAGAAAGGTATTCTCTGCAAAAGGTGTTCAGCCCCCCTTCTTTGGCAACACAGAAAGGAGAATTCTACTGCCTGAGGGTTATAATGCCTAAAAGCGGCCGAAGGCCGCCTACGCAAAAAGGGTCTCTCTGCAAAAGGTGTTCAGCCCCTCTTCTAGGGCAACAGAGAAATTAGTAGTGAGGGTTATAATCGTTTTGGAAAAAATCCAAGTTTCAGCTGTTTTCAAACAGCTACCAAGGGGTCTTTAGGGGGGAGGGTAGGGGGGGTGAGGGGTAACTTTTCATAAAGCGGCGTCCATCCTCTTTCGTTTAGGGGGCCACGCCTCCTCCCCCTCCTACTATATCTGGGCGCTAATTTATTAAAAATTTCGTTTTGAAATATGGTATTTTTTGCAAATTTCCGAGCTGAGCTGTCAAACACAGAAAATATCCACGAAATATGTCTGCAAAAGGTGTTCAGCCCTTCTTATTGGGCAATAAAATGCGGTCCATCCTCTTTCGTTTAGAGGGTTTAGGGCCCGCTCCCCCTCCCGTTCGGCATTCACAACAAGAACGTTGTACAAATAAATAAACATGTCCACAAAAATTTGTTTCAATGACTAAACATTTTATGTATTATTCTTACCTTATGTGATGGTGTACCGTCTATAGAAACTATAAAGCCTACTCCACATGCTTCATGTTCATTCTGCGGATCATACAAGCCTTGCGCTTTAGGAGTTTGCCATAAGTCTTCTCCAATATTTGACTTTCCTTCAAGTAACTCAATATATGCTTCGGTTCTACTTCCTAAATTATCTTCATCTCCCATGAAAGGACTTATGTCGGTGATAACTGAATCATTGGAGCAACTCATTGTAATGGCGTGTATAAGCACTATGTACCCTTTTTTGACTTTATAAATCACTTAAAACCCTATATACGTAGAAAAAGAAATTCGTTAATAAATAGCATAAACACGAATGTGAGTAAATCGGTAAAAGAGGTAGGCTGCGAACTGACAAAAAATTCAACTCATAAAACTTGTGAAGTTTGTGGCCAAAAGCTAAAAGTCTGTGTGAACAGCTTCACCCCAACTCATAAACAAATAAAATATATTTAAACAGCTCTATAGCCCGAAAAATTTATAAATAGAACATTTTGTAAAACTTTTTAAATCAATTTTATGTTTAATGCGTATGGCAATATAATAAGAAAAACGTAAATATATCTCATAAGAAATGTGTTATTTTTGATACTTTCCTATAGAAAGCTTTTACCGATTCACCCACAGGATAGAGGACAAATGGAGCAGAGTACCACCCAATAACATCAGTAAAATTGTTTGATAACATTCAAACAAACAAAAAACATTTTAACAATAATACGATATAACAAAACTAGTTCATGTATTTTTACTCAGATACATACTTTACACGACTAGAACTTTTGATTTTCCAAAAACGAATGGTCAAACTAACACCAACAATTGACACATTGATGGGCTTCAAATGTTCCCATCACTATTAAATCGTCTGAATAATCCGGATACATCAAAAGTCGATATAAATAAACCACTTTTAAGCACAGTTCTTTATAAGTGCACAAGCTGCTTAAGTACACACATTTTTTTAGTAAGTGTTTTAAGTATGCCTGATTGAATTGGAAATGAGGAATGAGGGCGTGTAGAGGAGCTTTTTCTGATTCTAAAAGTGAAAACCTTAGAGCGCGTAGGCTTCTATTTAAAGAGTTATTAGCTTTTAAAATCATCGTCACAATCATGATGCAACGATTACATGACGACTACACACTCGGTCGTGATATTTTAATTCATTTGGCGTCTAATAATTCACTTGGAGCAGTTATTTTCTGTTTTCTGGTTGATATTTTCACGAAATAATTACAAAAACCTGCCATTTTTTAAATATAGACTGTGATGCAATAATTCTAGACATCATTTTTCAGTAATATCTCTTCTTTTCTTTTCCTTAAATGTGTTTTGTGCATGCACACAGAGACCTTTTCGTCATATTTTAAAGTTAAAACGCCCACATTTATTGAATTTTAATGCAATTATCCACTTTTTAATAATTTCCACAGATTTTATGCAAAAAATACTAATTGTTATGCAATTTTAACGCAAATGTTAACTTTTTCACTAATTTTCTCCATAAAATGTAAACAAACAATGCGTGCACATCGATTAGCAAACGACAGTGACTTACTTATTCGTTCCTGCATCTTCTACGATTTGCCGATAACAAGCCGATAACGACAAGTGTGCTGATCTCCTTTGAAATGCATGTGCTCGGCTCAAAATTTCAGGGAGAGACGATAACGCAACAATGATTGGACGACAAGTGTGCAGATAGCCTTACTCTCCCGAATTTCACATCAATCAGTGCAATCTTGTATTCTATCGGTCTTGCACCATTACAGCCATTTTTAAAATTGCAAAGATGGTATATTTATCAAAATATAAGGGGCTGTGCCAATCAGTAGAAAAGTTCTTTGGTGGAAAAACTTTTTACTATGGTGAGAAAATTTTACATTTCTGCTGTGCCAATTCCATCGTACAGTTTCCTAAGTAAAATCACTATCAGCTGATTGCCAAAAAACGCCTACAGCTGAGATCACCGGTTTTTTGGCATTTGCTCATCTTTCACAATTTCTTTGATTTCTATTACAATTTCTTCAATGTTTATTACGATTTATGCAAAATGCACTAACACACTGAACCAAAAACACCAATACACTAACCAAAAACACACATGCAGCCTGCCAAACTCACACCTAAGGTAACATAAGTGTGAATAGTAGGAAGTGCTATGGAATATGGAATATGTAAACCCTATGTATAGGAAATAAGTTAAGTACATATCATGAACGAAAGACACAAGATCACGTAAGAACAAGAGAGTGAACAAAGTCAATTTTTTTAGCGGGTTCTACGCCATCTTGTTTCACTGGAAAACGAGCGAAAAGTAAACAAAGCAAAGAAAACAACGAAATCCAAAATTAGCCAAAATTATTGTCAGCCACTTTAATTTACACACTTTAATTTACGCACAATTTAGGTAAAATGATGCAATGAAATGCTTGAAAATGTGTTGTCATGTTGAATTAACTCTTCTTTACTTAAATAAAAGTGTAAAAAGTGGTGCTTGTGATGTAAACAAACGCTCAGCTGACGAACCCGTCATGAGTACATATGTAATAAAATGATAGATATTAAGTGGCAACGGCATCGAGGCAAGAGGAATCGATAAATAAAGTTAGTTCGATAGCGCACATTAACTAGACAACTTGAAAGATGGTGTCAGGTGCAAAATAAAAGGATTAAAATTAAAAGTTAAGTTGAACCAAGAAATCAAGCTGCAATGAATGCCGAGACTAGCGTTGGATAAATGGTCCAGAAGCGATGCAATTTGATGATCCAGGGAAGTACTGGCCCATGTGGAAGCAGCGGTTTAATATCTATTTGATGGCGTCAGGAAAAAAGAAAGAGCCCGAGGAGGTAAAGATTGCGCTATTGTTGCATCACATGGGTGAGAAAGGGGTGGATATATACAATTCGTTTAATTTGTTGGAAAAAGATGATACGCTTGAAAACGTCTTAAGTAAATTCGACGAATACTGCAACCCAAAGAAAAACATAACGATGGAGACTTTTAAGTTTTTGAACATTGTACAACAAGAAGGTCAGCCATTTTGCGAATTTGAGACAGCGTTGCGCAAGCAAATTAAATTCTGCGAATTCTTCTGCTCTAATAACTGCAAAAGATTTGAAGAGCGGATACTGCGTGACAAAATAATTTTGGGCGTCGTTGATAAAAATTTGCAAACAAATATTTTGGAAGCAAAAGAAAATGAATTAGACGATGTGATTCAAAAGTGCAAAATAGCAGAGTTAGCATAACAAAATAAAAAAACGCTAGCAGGAAGAAATGAAGCCAAGATTGATGCGTTGCAGAATACTGGAAGAAGTAAAAACGAAAAACAAAAGGAGAAAATATGTCATCGGTGTGGAGGTGAATGGAATTTTGAACATCGCCAAGCCTGCCAAGCAATGAAAAAAGGTCGAAAATGCAATAAATGTAAGCAGCCAGGTCATTTTGCGTCGATGTGTCGAATGAAACTTTCTGAAGAGGGAACGGATAGCCGTCGTGTCAATGTTCTGGAAGCTTCAACGGATAGAGAGGTGACGGATGCAGTTAATGCTGAATATTTTGATGAAGGTAAACGAGTTATTAATGATAATAAAAGTAAGAGGGGAGTAAGAGTAATTGGAAACATTTCCGATTGTAGGATAAGCTACTTAGGGGGAGGATGGTTTAAGAAGATACATGTAAATGGCACTGAAGTTAGTTTTAAAATGGATACAGTTGCGGATGTCAATTGCTTGCCAATCAAGTATATACAGAGAATGAAACTGGAAAATAAAATCTGTAAATCAAATACTCGCTTGTTTGCTGAAGAAATTAGAGTATATGGGAAAATTAAATTATGGTGTTCAGTAGATAAGGGCAAGAATTCGGTACCTGTTGTATTTGAAGTGGTTAGCAATGCGTATCAGCCAATATTATGAAGGGGATCGTGCGTAACTTTGAATTTAATAAGGAGAATAGATGACGTGAAGTGTGAAAGAAGTAGGGGTGACAGACCAAGTGCATCGACAGCCGGCAAAGTGGTTTGTGGAGATCTGCCTGAGGGCAGAGAGGAGTTTGCTCGCAATTTCATTGACGTTTTCGATGGACTTTGTCAAATACCGGGCAAGTGTCTAATAGAATTAAAGGAGGCAGCTGAGCCGAGGATTAACTATAAGAAGAGAATACCATATAGTTTACATGACAAATTGGAAAAACCATTGGATCTGATGGTCAAGGATGAGGTCATATGCAAGGTAAATAAACCAACAGAATGGGTAAACAATCTGCAAATCGTAGAAAAATCGGACGGTACTTTGAGAATTTGTTTTGACCCTAAACCGTTAAATGAGTGTATAAAACGGGAGCGGTGCATGATACCAACTGCAGAGTCGATAATAAGTCGAGTTGGTGGGGCGAAATATTTTACGGTGATGGACCTTAAAAATGGATTTTGGCAGGTTGTGTTAGATGAAAGATGCTCGGAATTGACAAAGTTTATAACCCCTTTTGGGCTGTATAAGTGGAATCGTATGCCGTTCGGATTAAGTAACGCTCCGGAAACATTTATGAGGTATATGATACAGATATTTGGTAATCTTGAGGGCGTTGAAGTATACTTTGACGATTTGTGCATTTTCGGGAGAACTAAACGGGAACATGATGAGCGGCTGCTTAAGGTGATTAGTAGAGCAAGGGAATTTAATGTGAAGTTTAATAAGGGGAAGATACAGTATAGGTCGAAGGAGGTTTGTTTCATGGGGAAGATAATTTCGGAAGGCACCATTAGACCGGATGGGAAATATTTAAAAGCTATTAAGGAAATTCCCCCGCCGAGAGACAAGCAAGATGTTTTGCGACTGTTAGGGATGTGTAAGTTTCTGGGAAGGTATATTCCAAATTTATCGGCAAGAACCTTTAATCTTAGGGAGTTAATGCGGAATGGCGTGAGATGGCAGTGGGCGGATGATCATATAAGAGAGTTGGAAAAATTAAAGATAAAATTATGATCCAAAGCTTTCACTTGTTATTCAGACAGATGCATCTAAGGACGGTATTGGGTGCGTATTATTACAAAACGGTGATCCGGTGGCGTTTGCGTCTCGCAGTCTGAGTAAATCAGAAAGGAGGTACGCACAAAAAGAGAGGGAATTGCTAGCAGTGGTTGTGGCTTGTGAAAAATTTCACTATTTTATTTATGGTCGGGACGTAGAGGTGCATTCGGATCACAAACCGCTTAAAGCTTTGATAAGGAAGGATTTGGATAAGGTCACTGCTAGACTGCAGAGAATGTTTATGCAGTTATTGAAATATCCAGCATTGACGATTAAATATGTGCCAGGGAAGGTATGTTGGTAGCTGACTGCTTGTCACGAGCGTTTTTGCCAGAAATGGAACCAGAGGATACAGTTTTGCAATCTGTCGTACATTCGGTGATCGGAAAGACGTGCATGTCAGACAAGAACAGATTGATTTTGGTTAGCGCTACTGAATCTGATAGATGTTTGCGGAAGGTGTGTGAGTATATTAACACGGTCTGGCCGTTATACAGAAATATAGACATGGAGGAAAAGAAGTTTTATAGGATCAAGGATGAGCTGAGTAGCGCAGATGGGCTCCTATTTTTTAGGGACAGATTAGTTACTCCCGCTGGACTGAGGGCGCAGACCTTACGATTATTACATTCTGCTCACCTGGGGGTTGAGAAAACGCGGATGCGAGCGAGGAAACTTTATTATTGGCCTGGATTATCCTCCGACGTTGAGGAATTTGTAGGTGCTTGCAGAGTATGTGAAGGATTGCGTAGGAGGAATCAGAAGGAGCCATTGCAACTGCATCCGGAACCGGAGTATGCTTGGGAGCAAGTTGCGATGGACATTTTTGAGTGCTCA